TTCCATGGATAACTTTTGACTGAGTGGACTAGGGTAAGGAGTGTTGGGCAGCAGAGCATTTCCATGGAGATAGGTATTGAAAAATCTTAAACCGAAGCTTGATCCATTCCCAGACATGTCTGAGAACAAAACCCAGCCATTTTTCAGTGGTTTTTCGGCAGGTTTTGCTCTTCCTTTTTCTGTCATCACCACTTACTAGTTCATTCGTACGTTTTGTGAGCTCATTTCTCTGCTTTGATACTTGTGCTCCTACTGTGGTTTTTCAGGCCGTGGTGTTTGGTGGGTGGGGGGAGAGCGAGGAAGGAAAGGCTGAGTCTCAGCATCAGGAGGCTGGGACACAGTCTGTGCCCTGGAGCAGGGGACAGTGAGGGGAGGGGTCTGGCAGGGTTGATGCCGGTGGGAGGAGAGGACCCCCTCACGATGGGTCACATGCTCAAGTGCTTTTCTGATGGCAGGTGGGAGTGTTTGGGTCTCCCTTCCCCTCCACTTTGCCACGGTGTCAACCTGTGACGGTGCCACCCAGGTCTCCACCATCAGGGGAATGAGACCTAGAGGTTGGGTCAAGCCTGGCTTCCCCAGGAGCTTTGACATTGGCTTTGATTCCGGTTTTGGGGGAGATGGAGACCTAGAGGCTGGGTCAAGCCTGGCCTCCCCAGGAGCTTTGGCGTTGGCTTTGATTCCGGTTTTGGGGGAGATGGTAGGGTTCCCATTCGTTCACAGTGGTTCATTCATTTCCTCCATCCTGCCTTGGCAAAGAGAGAGGACGGGAGCAGGAGGGCAAGACAAGGAGAGGCAAAGTGTACTGCTCCCTTGTTCCCAAGCTGGTCACCCAGGGATGTGCCCACCAGCCAGGCACTGCCGAGCACCAAGGGGCTGGCAGGAGCTCAGCCATCAGCAGCAGAGTGTGAAATAACAACCAGAGGCCAGGAAAAGGGATGGTGGCACACGGAGAGGCTGGGCTTTAGTCCTTAGAAGAGGTGCCAGAGGAGTCAAGTGGTTGCATAGGTGGTGATCAGCTGGGGATGGGGCATTTTGTAGGGGCAGCTCCTCCCCTCCTTGGCCAGGGAGGGGTGTGACAGCTCCGGTTACATTCATCCCCCCACTCGGAGTAATTAACCTTTTAAATAGCACCAAAAAAGAAGGGTCTGAGTTTCCGAGGTGCTGAACATCCAGCGCTCCCAGACACTTCAACAGAAGCCACATTTGTGCAGTGCCTTTGCAAATCCAGCTCTTACAAACCCAGGAGCATTTCAGGGGCTTTTGCCCACCTGGAGGCACCGTCTCCGTCTTGCGCTGGAGCAGCTGGTGGAGATGCCTCTCACGAGACCTGAACGTGTGTCTCTGCAGGAGAGACCTGCTCCACTCCTGGTGCTCCCCTTTTTGGATTGTGGCAGGAGCACTGTCAGCCCTGCTTGTTGCTCCAGGTTGCCAGGTCACTACGTATCCCATCACCGCGTGCTCTGTTTCTGAAGTCCAATCAACACTATCTGGAGCTCCTTTGACAAAACGAGCCTCTCTGCTGGTCAGTCGTGGTTTTATTTATATGTTCTTTTCTTTGATTAGAAAGGAAAGTATCAAGAAATGAAAAAGGACTTGTGTTTCCAATAGCCGTATCTCTAGTAGTTATAATTTTTGAAGCAATACTCGTATCCCTGTGTGTGCCTCTCAACTATCCATGTATTTGTTCAGCTTTTTCAGGTCTGAGTGTGTGAAATATCTCTAAAGAAGATAGCTCTGTAAGTGATGGTGTAAATGCATTGTTTGTATGTATTCTAAAGTTTAAATAGATTGTACATATGGGATTGTAAATGAACTGTAAACAGCAATCTATATTTTCTTGAATATATTATATAGCAGTATATATTTGTTAAATAAGTATTCTTGTATACTCTTCAATAACCTTTTTAATATTTTGTACAGATAAGTTTATTAAATATTTTATTGATAAATAGATCTCAGCAAGATCTTTTTCTTTTGAAGACTTGTGTCTGTGTCCCACAACCAGATGGCTCACTTCACAGCAACCTTCGTAAGTCACCTTCAATTCCTGGGCTACCTAAGCTGTTAGAACCAAAAATGCCATTTGTTTTACACTGCCCTCCTTGGCAACCTCAGGTGCTTTCCAAGAGAAAAACAACGACAGAACAGTAATGATGGTTTGACTTGTGCACAGGACTTTGCCCTTGCAGGTGCCTGGCTCCCTGTGGTCTCCACGGAGGGACCCCAAAGCAACGGTCTTCTGGAGGAGTGAGGGAAGAACCCGACTTGATTAGGTCTGGTGAAAACGTCCCCTTTGGAAATGAGGAAGAAATGAGAAATTTAAATATTTGAGATATGAAAAAATTCCTGGAAAAATGTAGCAGAGAGTTATTTATTTCCCAAATCAAGTCTGGTAGTTTCATTCCCATTAGGTACCACTGGTGTATGTGATACATCGCCTAGAACTCGAGAGATGAGGTTTGTGTTCCGTGGAGGCAGGTTTTAAGTCCGTGGTACTAACCCAGCACTTCAGAGTACTCGTGATTGACAACAGACACCAGTAAATCCTCGTATACGCTCAGAAAACCAAGCACTGTCACGGTCGGTTTATATTTGGGAGAAATGAGAGGCAGAGCAAGGACAGGTGAGATGCCCAAGGAATGAAGAAAAAGCAGAGCATCGCTAAAACAGGACACAGTCTGACTTGGGCACCTGGTGACTTAACCCTAAAGCAAGTTCCTAAGTCCCTTATGTAGGTAAAACATAGTTGGTGCCTGCCAGGCCCTCCAGAGGGAGATCTGGTGTCCCTACATTTAGATACCTAAGTTAGACCAGAAAAGTAATTTAGACATCTGTTTTGGGAGCATTTCTTTATGAATTGGGTGCAAGTCGGGTGAGCCAGGTCTATTTTGCTGGGAGTGCCAGTTTTCCTCTTAGCACCTCATCCAAAGTCTAATAAAATTAGTTTTAACGTAGACATTAAGTTCAGCAGGTTTTGGCCCAGGCTGTAGCATCTGCTTGAGGTTCAAGCTGAAGCCTCTCAGGTACCATCCCCCGGAGTTCTCTGTCATGCAGACCCTTTCAGGAGACAGCTGGGGAGATCGCTGGGACGCCTGGTCGCCGTGAGGCAAAACTGCAGTCCCCAAGTATTCTGGCATGAGAATTTCATCTTCTTTGCAGTAACTGGTACTAGGTGGGCATGTTTTCATTGCTATGAAAACTTAAATCCTCCTTGTCACAAAGTGCTAATTCCACAGGAATCCTGCTACCTTGGACTGTCCTATTTTGGTACAAATTGGTAGGAATACAAGGATAAAAGGGAACTCCTGCCTTGCAGGCAGTACTTTGGTACTGAAGCTCTGTGTTCATCCTGTCACCTCTGTTGTCCTAGTCCCCATCAATCGATCGCTTGGGTCTCCCCCAGCCTGTGTACAACCCTTTTGACTTTATTGAGGCTGTACTGGGGCTGCAATTGGACTTACACACTCCTTTTCACTCCAGATGCTTAAAATCCTTTTTGTGGGTGAAAATACAGGTTCCTTCCTAATAAAAACTGATCAGCTGTACCCCCTGCATGATAAGAGTGTATGATGCTAACACTTCCAAACATTTATATTCTGTAAATGGTATTCCTGTTCCCAGCAAGTTAGATTGAACAGCTGGATCCTTATCAAATTTTAAGGGTTCCTGTTAGGGAAAAGCAGTCGTGGAGTCCTGATGCTGGGAAAGCCAGTTTTTCCCAATTCCATGCCATCTCATCTTCGTACCCAACACTTTCCCTTAGTCTATGAAGCACAGTGTATTTTAGAGCGTGGGGGGGCCTTAAGGTGAGTTTGCTGAAGATGCTCATAAACTGGCAGAGCGGGGGCGATTCTTCCATTGTGCATTGCTCCAAAGGGGATGGCAAAAATAATCTCCTGTGTGTGTGTGTGTGTGTGTGACTGGCAAACACCGCAGGCAGGGACGGGGCGAGTCGGATGGTTTAAACAACGCTCTGCATTTTATCTGCTGCTGCAAATTGCTCTCCACAACACAGCTATCTTCCTGCCAGCAGGTTCCTGGGGCAAACCCAGGCTGTTTACTATCAGCTTAAGCCCTGTTTTCAAGTGCTTAACCTGACAGTAAGTGGACTAGTTTTTTCCTAAAACAGCCTTTAACCAAACCCCTGCCTGCGCAGGCGGGTTACCCCGTTTGGTAACTTTGGCACGAGGCTGCCCAGAGCAGCGATGCTTCTGGCAGCTGCTCCATCTGCAGCTCAGACTCAAACCCCATCAGCTGTTCCAGAAATACATGTGCTGCTTTAATAGCTCCTGGTTGTCACTCACAAAAGCTCTCTGGGTTCTTATTTTGCAAATCTGCCAGGAAAGAGAACGTTTGCCTGCAAGTGAAGAGCCTCAGGAAGCCACTGGAGTCGGGAGTCCGAGTGTGACCTGTGACACGGAGTAAAACAAGTCTCTCGGGTCTCGTAAGTTTATCCAAACCCAGCAATGGTTTGAGCAACTTTATTAATGATAACATTGAACATCTTGTTTAAAGGCTTTGCTGGCAATTAGCTAGCCCTAAGAAAGGGATGGGAAGTGGATGCGCGTATAAACCCCTTTTCTGTAAAATAAATACATAAATGACCTCAGCTGCAGAGAAGAGATTATCTGTCTCCTGTGAGTCAAGAAACTGGTGTTTAGCTTGGAGTCCAACTCCAAATTCTTCACCATAAACACTGGACAAGCACTCATCAACCTTCCTGAAGGGGTGAGCTTCCCCAATCCACACACTCTATAGCTCATTCCGAGCAGCAAACACGGAGCTGGGGGGAGCAAGGGGAAACAAACATTGATTATTTTGGAGTGATCTGGATAAAAACGCTTGAGTCAGGTGCCTGCCACCCACTGATTTCCTCTGCACTTCACAGATGTCTACATAGCATGTGAAATATGGGGTCTGGCAAGTATTTTTGTAAATTTTGTACGCATGAAGTAATGAAGAAGGTGAACAAAGTCTAAACAAGTTATCAAAATAAAGAATCCAGTTACATTTTACCATAAATGTCTTTATTTTTGTTATTGGAGTTGTGTACTTACTCATAAAAGGTATCGATCTAGCAAAACACTTGAACATGAGTCAAAGTCATTGAAACTAGCAGGAGCACTCGCCTGGGGAGGAGCAAGCACAAGTGTGAACGACAGAGATTAGGTGCTACTGCAAACGGTCAATTCATTTGCGATAGGTTTCCCAAAAACTCTAAAATAGTCTAAAACAGGCATGACCACACCGCGTTTTCAGGGTAAGTTGGCACATTTGGACCACGAGCACTTTTGAGGCTCTTTGCCTGGGGTCCCGGGGAACGCTACGGGCTTCGGAGGAGCCGGGTGCTCACCGTGGGGGATCTGCTCCTCTTGGGGAATCCAGCTGTGAAAACTACACCCGGGCTTTTGTGCAACGAAGAGAGTGGCAGATTTTCAGATCTCAGCCTTACGGTAACAGCTTCTAGGAGGAAGGTAGCAATTGAATCAATACGGTTTTGATAACCTCAGAGAAAATGCATTTAAGAAAATCGTAAGGCATTATTATCCTGCAGTGGATACGGTCATGGCTGACCAGCTCTAATCTCAGTTTAGGTCTTAACGAAGTCAGTAGGATTTAGTCTAACAGATTAACGTTTGTATAAAAGGCATACACAAGTCAAGTACAAGTATTGCTAAATTAATTCCTCATACAAAGTATACGAATAATGCACTGTAAACAACTGCTTCTCGGAGGCGCTTCAGTTCCCAGGCTTTAGTAGTTGCTTGTCATCTTTGGTTAACGCAAGGTTTTTCCTGTCCTCAGGAGATCCACTACAACAGCTGAACTTCTACAAACCCTCAATGACCCCATTCCATTTACTGCTGAAGAACAAAAGCTTTGTTCAACCAGATCGACGTGTGAACCAAAACAATCAAGTGAACTGTAGTTTTTTATGTTGCTAACATACAGACGTGCATATGTACATATATACGTGTACATATATATAGCTCAAGGTATGTGAACACACACCCCTTCACTCTGCCCCAGGGAGCACCCAGGCCAACAGATGCCTTCAGCATCTGCCATAAGGGCCACCCAACAGGAACTCTTGGCAACATCTGGGTGCTGATTAAACACACACAGACACATACAACGATGGGTTTCTAAAGTGAGCACGAGAAGTGTTTTGATCACGACTGAATATGGCCCTGTTGATAGAAGTCCCACAGCTCTCTGATAAACAGAATCAGTTGCACAGGGACGGTCCCTTCACTTTGAACATACCTCGTTCCTTCACGTGCTTCTGCAACCCTGGTCTCAACACTTCTGCCTCGAGCACCCGCCGGCTGTTTCGCCCCGCGGCAGTGTAATCTGAAAATCCACTGGCTAGTCCCAAAAGCTAAACCAGTTTCTGATGCAAAGAAGGTCACTTAAATCCACTGTCTGTTCTGCAGGTTTGAAAGCTAGTCCAAAATATCCAGAAACTGAATTCGATTACAAATTGCTCTAAATATTAGTGAAAAATTCAGGGGGCGTTTAGAGAGAAGTGGAAGGGGAGTATATAACTGTGCAAGAAAAGTAAGGAATTAATCGGTCTTTCTGCATCACAGAGAACATTCCCCAGTGCCATTCTCACTAGCACCACATTAAATCTGTTAATAAATTATGTAAGTCAGATACCCAGTGCATCATCTAAATTCATCTGTTTGCAAGGGCAGGACTTCCCTTGACTATAGTCTTTAGTGTTTTGTTTATTTATAAATGTCTCTATGAACTCCACAGGGAGACCATTTCACAGGTTCATGGCTAGAAAGCTTTTCCTGATTCCATCTGGCTCTGTTCCCCTCACTTACATTATTTTCATTTCCAGCTATTGCCTGTAACTTCTGCTGTTATCACAAGTGGTAGGATGTTTTTTTTCTGGTTTTTCTTTTTTGCTATCTGTAAAGGAGAGGAATGAACAAACGTGAGGAACAGTGTCAGCAACATGCTATAGCAAGGATCTGTTCCTCAATAGTAACGTCCCATGCCATTTCATGGGTGCAACCGTGGCAGAGTAATAGCCATTTTCTCACAGAGAACTTATCTAATTTGTGGCTTGGCAGAAAATTTCATTCTGCAGTCCTTAGAGCAAAGAACTGAAATTTAGGTATGCACTGAAACTGGTTTAATTCTTTAAAGTTGCTGAGCAAGCACTGTTCCCATAGGCTTCATTAGGAGATCTAGGCCACCTATAAGTAGTTATAGACAGATTCTGCAACCCATTTTAACCTTTTAATAGCAGCACTTTTGACCAACATTCTTTACCTTCTCTACAGTCAATCGAAAAATTAAACACTTGGCCAAGCTTCAGACAAGAGCTCCGTGTGTATTCCCTCCCTGAGCAGCCACAGTTGCCTTATGGTATTTTTAATACCCTGTGGAGTCCTAATTCTGAGACTTGGAGAAACTGCACACCTCATCCACACATCTCCCCTGTACTCATCCCGAGCTCAGCCTGACCTCTGATTGACTACCAACCCCATCTGGCCTGGAGGAGACAACCTTAGGGTTGTCCTGGGGCCTTGGGCTCTTCTGGCTTCATGCTCCAGGGTTACACGGACGGATGGGACACGAGGAGAGGGTCAGGCCTTTCACAGTGTACCAGGATCCATCCACAGGGGGATTTTTATCCCTACAGAGTAGCCTGGTATTTCTGTCTAAATCGGGCCAGCTGGGCTGCCTCAAACCCACCCCTGACCGCTCTCCAGCAGGTAAGGGAGCTGGTAGTATCTCAGGTACACTTGTGGCCAGTGAATCTAGTATCAGTGTTGCCTAGAGTGGGAGCAGACAATAAATATTCCACCCTCTGCCAACTCCTGCAGAGTCCTGAAGACACAGGATGAAGGTACATCACCATTCGATCAATAAAACTATAATTTGGACCAGCCAGTCTCTCTTTAACTTTCTCTAAAACATCTCAATAGAAAACAAGCCATAATCTATAATAAACAGGAAAAAAAAATAGGACAGACTCTCTCACAAAAAATTACACGTTCACAAAATAATTACATCATTTTCTTGTTAATCACTGAATTTGTGTTTATAATTTGGTCAGATCATCCTGTAACCAGTCTGTGATCATGGCAGCCATCTCCTTGCTGGCATCCAGCACAAAGGCGTGGCGGAGCCCTTTCTCACAAAGTCGAATGTCCCCATCTGGAAAATCCAGTTTGATCTCATCGTAGTAGTGCTGTGGACACCAGCTGTCTCCCCTTCCGTAGTAAAAAATCAGCTAGAAATCAAAGCACAGCAAACCATTAATTTGAGAAGTTATTGATGAGGCATCCAGTTTCTAAACACAGAACACTGAATTATTTGGAAATAAGCGATGCGTCATTACCCAACATATACTGTGAGGAACAGCATATTGGTAGTTCCTGGTTGTTTCCAAGTCTGCAATTCTGATGAAACCAGTTAAATGCTTTTTGACTCAAGTTTCCTCATCTGTAAAATTGTGGAGAACAATATGGGCTCAACTCTGAAAAGAGAGGTCTGCTGATGAACATCTGGCTGTCTTAAGAAATTCGTTATTGTGGATCCAAACATCTAGCTGTTCATGGAGTCCACCCCCATCCAGGCAAGCTGCTGTGTCTTCTCTAGCTATTGGCTGTCTTCTATGTTAGCTTTCTAGCTCATTAGTCAAATAGCAAAATTACCAGTTAACTTGATGCTATGTCCCAGCTGATGGGACGGACTAACTGTTACAGTTTTCCTCTGGATATAAACTAAGAGAAATTGGAGGTTCTTCTACATTTTTGAGTAGCTCAGTCTTACTGGCATCTGTTTGGTGTGATCTCAAAGCACCTGCCTGGTTGGGGCCTTACGTGGAGGAGCACCTGTTCTTCTTCACCTTGGTGTCAGATGTAAACTAGAGGTGATTGACTCAGAATAACATCAGAATACTGACAATTACGGGCATTCCCAGAAGCAACACATGTTTTGTGAAGTGCTGCCCGTGTAGAGCACAGGCACCTCCCAGAGACTGATGAGTATTTTCTTTTGGGTTGTAATGTGGAAATAAAATTCTACCCAAGTCCATTTTGTTTTGATGTTGCCCTAATAACCTTGCTCAATGACATACATGAAGCAGGTGCTACAGGGCCCACCTGAACAGAAAAGTCACAAATGCCAGGCTAATGTCATACTCAATGAAGTGTCTTTTCTCCAGTAGAAACACCAAATGCCACTCTTTCTGAAGTCAGCATTTTCTCCCATTTTCATCTCAACTTTGCATGCTACAGCAATGCTTTTCAATTTCCAAAAAAAGCAATTTAAGGGAGAGTGGTTGTCTGGGAGAAAGTAAAAATCTACAGATTTAGAACTATCCAGGAACAAGACTAATGACGAGGACTCTATAATAAAATGTTTGAATGCAGGTACCAGAAGGATGTTCATTGCTCAACATATCACACACACAGCTTGGCCCAGCTCCATTACTCTCATTTGTTTCATATTTCGTTTCTGTACTTTGGTGAATAACTGAGCAACGCTAACATAAATTAGGGGACAAGAAGTTTTCCTTTCATCACAAAAATCTTCAATTCCATCATTTTTGTAGCCATGTGGAATATAAATAAATGCACCCACTGGGGCAGAGGTGGGCTAAGAGCCCAGACTGCATTTCACAAAATGTTACAAGCTTTTGTCTAACTCGCTTTTCTCTTCTTGAAGCGTACCCAAATCCTGGACGTTACTGACTATTGCCTGTATCCAAAATACAGTATCTCAGTTGCAAAGACAACAACCCAAGTTATACCTCTATGAATACGTAAAACATAGAACACAAACCATTCCGCATTAACAAACATCTTTTGTCACTCAGTTATTGCTGGAAACAAGGTACGTCGTTCGCTTTAGCAGCAAATTTCTTTTGATCTCGCCTTCGATTCATAAATCACAGGATGTCACACTAGCAAAAATTCTTCAAAAAAGCCAATGTAAAATGGCCAGCTGCATTCCGCCTTTATGAAAGCCAAACATCTGACCGAATTATGTTTAACCCCGGCCTCCGTTACCAACAGATACAAAAATAAAGATTATGAAACTGAGAAAAAAAAAGAAATGGAGCCACACCAGTTTAATGGAGTAGTCCCTGAAATCATTAGATATTTTGGTAGACTGGTCATAGGCTGATCATCACATGATCATTCAGAAAAAGATGAAAAGTCATTTACACTTAACAAAGGTGGATAAAATACTTGGCTCAGTCTGCATGAACTGCAAAATGGGCTGTCCTCCAGGTAGGGTTGTAAACTTGAGAACTCACAGATTTGGAAATGCCTAAACAAAAGATTTATGTGCATTCTTAGCTTGCCCCTGGTATATATGTGTTACAGTTTAATCTTTCATTGCGTGATCCAAAGGATCCCTGACTCATTCAATCCACTGACAGGATGACGTTCGGCTGATGAGCTGCTATTTGATAGTACTTTGCGTTTTTAATTCTGTGTGTGGTCTGAGGATTTATTTATTACATATTTCAAGGTTTACAGACAGAATTTATTTTCTTATGTGCATTCCTCTGGCATATACCACTATGGGATTCGCATGATCACATTTATTCATTTAGTTTTGCAACACCTTAGTGGTCATTTTTATCTCCATTTTGCAGATGGGGAGCACAGAAATTAATGTCAAACTACATCCATTAATTTGTTAAGTATGTAGTGTAGTCTGAAACAACTAGCTAGAGCTGGTTTTGCAGTGTGTGTAGCATTACTCAGTATTGACTGGGCTCAAAGGATAGCACTCTGGATTTCATTTGCAGGTGCTCTGAGACGCTCGCGATCTGTCTGTAAAACAGATTTCAAGGTCTTAAATCATAGAATTGTAGAATCGTTTTGGTTGGAAGAGACCTTTAAGATCATTGATTCCAACCATTACTCTAGCACTGCCAAGTTACCATTAAACCATGTCCCTCAGCACCACATTTACACGTCTTTTAAATACCTCCAGGGATGGCGACTCCACCACTTCCCTGGGCAGCCTGTTCCAATGCCTGACAACCCTTTTGGTGGAGCAATTTTTCCCAATATCCAATCTAAACCTCCCCTGGCATAACTTGAGGCCATTTCTTCTTGTTCTATCACCTGTTAAATGAGATACTCAGAAAAGCGAGGTCAAACTGTGATCATGTATGAAAAATATTAATGACTTCAGCAACAGCCCATTCTTGGATGTGAAGTTTAGATGCCTTCACCATGAAGCTATCCAGTTTTACTTCATATAATCCCGTTTCTTTCAACAAGCATTTTGCTGCTTCTGTCACAAACGAGGCGGGAGCTCTGCACCCAGCGACCTCCTTCGTTACACAGATCTCTTGCTTAATGAAAGAGAAAAAAGGAAAAGGGATGTTATAATGAAAGAGCAGCTCTTCATGCATACCTAAAAGGCATCTGAATTAAGACTGGTGCTACCTAATTTTGAAATGCCTGGTAAAGCAATATCAACTGGTTTTAGCAGAGTGTGCCAGACTGCAAGAAGGTAATCCAAAAACCAGGTATTTTACATGTGGCACCTCCATGTATTGGCAACAGTGGTCGCACCTCTAGGTCTGCTGCCCTAGGGTCCTGTCCCTTAAGGTAATGGTGCAATTGAGAGAAGTAGCACTGTCAGCTTCTGGCCCGAGGAACATGGGACAGCTTCCTGCTGGGTGTCACACTGGGGATGTTCAGCCCTGGAGAAGGCTCCAGGGAGACCTCATTGTAGCCTTCATGCACTTAAAGGGAGGCCTACAGGAAAGATGGGGACAAACTTCTTAGCAGGGCCTGCAGCGATAGGAAAAGGGGCAATGGTTTTAAACTAAAAGAGGATAGGTTTAGACTAGATATAAGGAAGAAATTTTTTACAATGGGGGTGGTGAAACACTGGCCCAGGTTTCCCAGAGAGGTGGTAGATGCCCCATCCCTGGAAACATTCAAGGTCAGGTTGGATGGGGCTCTGAGCAACCCGATGTAGCTGGAGATGTCCCTGCTCATTGCAGGGGGTTTGGACTAAATAGCCTTTAAATGTCCCTTCCAAACCAAACTATTCTATGATTCTATATGCAATTAAAGTTTGGGTACATTATAGCCAACTAAGAACTGTTTTATAACACGAACACGTGGGGAACTTTATTTGATGCTGCAGTTATTTCATCTACTTATTTTGTGTGCAGATGTTGGTGTCTGCATTGTGTGTGCTGATGTGCACATGTCTGCAAATCTTTAAGTTTCCTAAGTACAAACTGCCAACAGAATTCAGAATTGTTTTCAAATATTTCTCTATTAATGGATCGTGCAATAAGATCTAAAAGCAGGATTCCAATTAAGGTGTAAATTTTCAGTGATCCAGATGGTGGTACAGGGCTTATGAAACCTGACAGATACCTGACTGCCATTTGTGGCGTTGAGGGTCTCCCTTTGAATGACAAAAATGACTGTGCTTTTTGCCTGTCACACACAGCCACAAAATACACAGATGGATGTGTATGGGATGCTACCTGTTTTCCAAATACATTACGATGGATTCTTTTTAGACATATTTAAACAGAAGTTTCCAGAATCCAAATGTTCTCACCTTCATTTTAACACCAGGAGCTTTGCTATTGCAGCACACAGGCAGGCATAATTAACGAACCATGTGTAACCAGAACCACATGGGATCTTCATTAATGGTAGGAAACCCTGGCGTGCACTATACCATTTGCACGGATCTGTAAAGCACATATTTTCCGGTGGACTCCGCATGGCTGTAAAGACATCCTGAGTCAGCACAACCACCTCACCAGCCACGGAAACCTGCTGCCAACCTAAGCATTCAAAAATGGTGAGTCAGGCCCCCAAAATAATGAGACTCGCTTAAAAATAAACAGATTCACAAAACAGTAAATAGAAGGTTCTTTCTATTTTTCTTCCGGGCTTAAGCTTTTCAATATTTGCATTTTGCAACTTTTCTGCCATGAGGCTGAGTGGATTGTATTTTATCCTTTTGCAATACTGAATGCTGAGACTTCCAGGTATTCCTGACTCAGAAGGGAAATGGCAGCTACCACTGGACATGACAAGGACTTTATATGATCCCTGATGCAATACCTTGCTTGTCTGGAGTGCCTAAACCACGTCCTCTTTCAGGATGTGACAATGAGGACAGAGTAACGGGGATGTGGGTTCTCTTTCCTGGCCATTTAAATACTGTGTTTGAAATCGTTAAGCAATTTCTAAGTTTCAAATAGTTTTAAAATACCAGCAATGT